GTTCAGCAGCTGGCTGTCTGGTGCAGTCACAACAACCTGGAGCTGAACACGCTCAAAATTGTGGAGATGATAGTAGACTTCAGAAGAAACCGCCCTGCTCTCCCCCTTCTCACCACCACAGCACTGTGGCTGCAGTGGAGTCATTCAGATTAGGAACTACCATCTCTCAGGACCTGAAGTGGGATATGAGTGAAGAAACGGGCAGGAAACATCATCAAAGACCCCTCTCACCCCGGACACAACCTATTTGCACATCTCCCATCAGGCAGACGCTACGGATCTCTGTGCACTAAAACATCTAGGCATGCATTAAAACATCTAGGTATAAAAACTGTTTTCCCCCATGCCATCTCCAGCTTAAAAAGCTAACACAAGAATCATTACCTGTGTTCTGTAATTCATTCTCCACCTTTAATTATTGCCTCTTTCTCAAGTATTATGTAAATACATATGCTAAAGTCACTCCAATGTTGATTCAACTTAGTTGTAGTTTAATGACAGGGTTGATGTTGTAAGATGTGATTCAGCCATAAAGCATCTCTACAGAAAACAAGTCATTATTCAGCTCAAGTTTTGTTGTCATCCGTTGGTGTCAGTGCAGTCATATCAATATTCCTGAATATTGAGTGTCTTTTACATTGGTGACTTCTGACATCCGAAGTGGCAGTCATATCGCTGTATTTTAAATATTTATTAATAACTTTGTAAATATTGTAAACCTGGCCTGTATGATGTATATATTTTTTGTTGTTGTAATTTTTAGTTTATGTAATTTTTAGTCTTATGGCATATTTGGAGATCGATGACACCAACTTTTTACCTGACGGTGTAGAGGTAGATCCCCTTCCTCATCCAGAATTCAGTATAACAGGTCATGACATCTTGCTTCTAAAGGTAATACATAATGCTGAACAATTTCATTACCATCACAACTAGAAAAATGGCCTTTCATGGTAGGAAATGGTTGACATTTGCAGAATACACTTTTGCTCCACTTGAAATTTTAAGAACAATTCAGAAAAATAGGTAGAAGTATAAGAAAAAAGAAGTATAGGTGCTATTAATTCAAGCAAGAACATTGCATCCTCTCTTTCAGCTCAAAACCCCAGCAACTCTGAACAGAACTGTGAATACTATCACTTTGCCAAAACCTGAGAATGAAGAAATCTCAAAGGACTGCATGGTCATGGGTTGGGGCTGGAAGAAATACGATCACGTGTCTCCATCAAATTGTCTGGTAGGCCTACCCAAAACCCAATAAACACCAAGTCTTGTCTAGTACTAAAAATTGTTTTACAGCATTTAGCCTAGTAGCCAAATCAGTATTAAAGGCACAATATGCAAGTTTTTTATTAAAATATCCAAAAACCACTAGAGCAGGTGTTATATATTTTGCCGACTTGTTCGACGGCTTTCAGCCTCACAATTCTACTACGTTAATAAATCATTAGCTCATCCATGAACATGATTTCTGCTCGAGTCCCGTCGGATTGCATCGGCTGTGGGGATGAAGACGACAACTCCCATGATTCCACACTCGTCACCAAACTATACCTTTGTCCATTTGTTTATTTTGAATACACACCCTCTAGCGGCAAAAATGATATATTGTGCCTTGAAGTCTTCATTCAGCCAAAAGGTTGACTAAGGAAGCCAGGGAAGAACAGAAAGCAGGAGACAATGTAAAGAAATTACGTTTATTGATTAACCTTTTTTTTTGGCTAATGTTTCAATGCTCAGACTTTATATAACAAGATATTGCAATGGAAAATTACTGTGTCACAACAATATAAACTAAAGACCTTGAAATTCAGACACTTTCCTAAGACGTATCCCCCAAAACCACAACCATAGATCAAACTGCAACAAAAATAAAACGACTGAACAATGAACAGCTCAGCAATATGAGTGCATAAATGGTTAAATGTTTAATTCATAATTAAACTGAATAAAACTTTCAAAACAATAAATGGATATTAAAAGAACATGGTTGCTCTTAAGAATAAAAAAAACCTATAAAGAATCCTTCAAAGGGCAAGCTAGATAAACTTCCTTAGTTGTTCAGTTTAATGCAAGTTCAATCACATTTAAGAATTAAACCAACCTGTGTAAATTTGAAAACTTAAATATAAAGCCCAACTCATTTTCTGTGGCCTTTGTGCAGTAGCTGGCCACCACTGCCACCTTGTGGTTAAAGTACTGCAACACTGCCACTAAATAACCCGTGCTAATAAAAGATGCAAACTACTGAACAAAACAGATGTAAAAAAGCTTTATTGAATTAATTTGTCTCTCTCACACTAAGTTACCACCTTTCTACAGAAACTGTTTTAAGCAAAATATAATCAAACTTCAATCTAGATGGAAGATTGATTGATCATATTTTGCAAGTGTTGACACTTTCTCTGCTTTCTTTTGGGAGATGGGGTCATCTGCACAGCAGGGATTTCCATGAGCTCTGAAAAAGCGAAGCCAAGTAACAAAAGGTCTTATTAGAAAGAAAATGAACATTATTAACAACAAGCATGCAAGTCAATTAATACTACTCAAACAGCCAAACAAGCAACACATACAATATTTGTTTGAAGAAAACACTTTCTCTGCTTTCTTTTGGGAGATGGGGTCATCTGCACAGCAGGGATTTCCATGAGCTCTGAAAAAGCGAAGCCAAGTAACAAAAGGTCTTATTAGAAAGAAAATGAACATTAACAACAAGCATGCAAGTCAATTAATACTACTCAAACAGCCAAACAAGCAACACGTACAATATTTGTTTGAAGAAATTAAAGGGATGGTTCACCCAAAAACTAATTCTGTCATTACTCACCCTGTCATTCCAAACCCGAAAGACCTTCGTTCATCTTCGGAACACAAATTAAGATTTTTGATGGAATCCGAGAGCTCTCAGACCCTCCATAGACAGCAAGAGTCCCTACATGATCAAGGTCCAGAAACGTAGCAAGGAGATTTGTTAAAATAATCCATGTGACATCAGGGGTTCAACCGTAATTTTACGAAGCTACGGGAATACTTAATGTGCAAAAGAAAACAAAAATAAATAGACTATTCAACAATTAATCTCCTCCACATCACCCTGTAGCGCCATTTTGGAGCGTATCCACTGAACGTAAATGACATATGCTATTATGTCAGCTGCGTCACACGGATACGTTGTTTACATTCAGATCAAAGCGCAAACAACGTATCCGCGTGATGCAGGAGACGAATTGTTGAATAAAGTTATGTTTTCTTTGCACACAAAAAGTATTCTCGTAGATTCGTAAAATTACGGTTGAACCCGATGTCACATGGATTATTTTATCAATCTCCTTGCTACGTTTCTGGACCTTGATCATGTAAGGACCCTTGCTGTCTATAGGAGGGTCAGAGAGCTCATGGGATGCATCAAAAAGAGTCTTAATTTGTGTTCCGAAGATGAACGGAGGTGTTGGTGTATGTGTTTGGAACGACACGAGGGAGAGTAATTTTGACATTTTCATTGGTAAACTAACCCTTTAATCTTCAACAGAACATCTGGCCATTACCCACATCAAACTAAGTCATTTATTTGATTCTACAAGTAAATCCATACCTCCTATATGGATATCCATACCCGTGTTTATGCCATGAAAATGAAGTAATTTCAAAGGTTATCTTGCTTCTCTAGTTTTCAAATACAACACGTCCAGGGAGTCAATCTGAAAAATAAAACGTTATTTTAGTATACAGATGTAAACAAAGATAAATCATGCATTTAAATTATCTTCCAAAATAAGATGCTACATAAACACTTCTAGACTAAAGTGCGAAAAACCAGTACAAAATTGTGTTAAAAAAAAAAAAAAGGGCCAAACTTTAAATGAGTCTCCATAATCACTCAAGACGTGGCGAAAAAGCTACATCTCTTAATTTCAAATCTTTTGACAGGTGATTTAAAACGGACCAAAAATAATCTTTAAAGTTGGTGCAGACAAATTTGCGATCAGAACAGGGACTTAAAATCTCTCATTTCAAAGGCCACATGAGGTACTGTCCACCAAACATGAGCACACTATATAAATATATATATTACAAAAAAAAAAAAAAAGTCATCATGCAGCTTTTTAGAGGACCAGGAAGTGTTTTTTTGGGGGGGTTGTGGAACAGGATCGAACAGATTCTGGAGATGTAATCACTGGTCGAGGCAACATTCGAAGAAAACATGGACAATGAGAACTGTTGTAGGATGCGTACAGGAGAGCAAAAGGTTTTACCTCACATTACAGGCCTATCTCCACAAATGACCTAGTCAAGAGAGCAGCTTTCATCTCAGGATTCTTGAGTCGGAAGGCACAACACTTCATTCTCCAAGGACATTGTTGATTTCCGTAATTGCTAGCAGAGAACTCTTGGATCCAATGAAGCATTATACAGATCCATTGCTTGCTACACCACAAGAGCAACGTTTCATCTTTGTTAGCTTATCTAATACTAAGTTTTATTTGCCTAATGAAAAATATTTAGGATCCTAGATGCTAAAACCCCAGCTATCCACTCCAAGATATTCACCTGGCTTGTATTGAGCTTTTTAATATCGAAGGCAAAAGAGAGCATTTTCCAACCATTTTTTAATGAGCTTCATGAATCCAGATTAATACAAAAAGAAAAAGGATTCTGAGGTGTTGATATACAGAACAGAGCACATTTCTTTCCAAGGAGGAACAAAATCTTGACATTTAAGAGGATAAGTTCAGTCCACAGTAGAGCATACTTTTAAAAAAATAAATTTAGACTGGTCAAAGAGTAAAGTACCTTGGGCCATCGGTCCTAACATGAGGTGGAACGACCCACTTTAGTGGTTTACTCTTTGGATAATGAATATTTACAAATCTTTAGCAACATCAAGGAGGTTTGCCGGAGACAACTCCAATGCAACATGCCTGCCTTGCTTCACTAAAGGAATGCATCACAAAATGGAGGTGGCAAGGAGCAATAAACACATCACAGCTTATCAAGCTTCTATTGGAGGATCAGATTAGAATATTTTCAGGTGCCATTTTAAAATTGTTTAAATGCAAATGCCCCTTTAAGCACTTTCGGTGAGCCGATATTAAGAAATTGGTCCAAAGATCTTTGAGGAAATTGGTTTTAGAAGCTATCAGGCTGTGTTGGACAGGTCAATTTTCACGCATGGTTTCAGAGACAGTTTCTTAAACACACACTAAAAAGGAAAACAAAGGACAATTTCAAACCTCTGTGAGCATCTAGAACACAATCGCAAGGTAAAAATGTCAGATACAGGTAGCCTCACAGGGCTTGAAACTCTTACAGTAAGTGAATGCTCATGGACATTAGGCAGCTCCTCAATGAGAGGAACATCCTGCGGATACTTGACACGGTAAAAAAGGAGTCTGTCTTTAATAGAACATTTGAACCAGAACACAAAACGTAAAGGAGAAGAAAAAAAAAAAAAAAAAAAAAAAAAAAAAAAAAAAAAAAAAAAGTAAAAACAAAAGGTCTTCCAAGAGCGCATCTTTTTATATACAGCCAGCGAAGGGATGATCTTGCAATCAGGATTTTTTTTTTACTCGTGTGAAGCTGAGGACAAGAAGTAGGCAAAAGTGTAAAGGCACTGGAGCATTGTGAACATCCATTCCAAACAGTGAACTGACACCAAGACATGATTCTTTTCCAACAAGGTCTTATGGACTATTCTGAAGTGCACAAAACCAACTTTAGTCACTACTATTGTAAAATGACTTTTTGGATTGTGGTCACCAATTCCAAGATAAAGGCAACCAAGTTGACTGAACTCAGAAGTTCGAAAATGGCAGTTTTGTCTTTCTGCTTCGGTCTAGACATTATTCTAAAACAACACAAGTGGGCTGAGATCTATTGGTGCAGTTATCTAGTAAAATGAGTAATTTTGAACAATCAATACATACCGTAGCTGTCGTAACCGTCTCTGTAGGATCCACCAGAACGGTCATATCCACTCTGGCTTCTAAAACCAAAAGTATTATTTGCCATATTTAAATTGTTCATGGTTACAATGATCATAAAATCATTAATTGTGCAAAACTGTTCCATGCTTAAATCCCTTACCTGTTATCCCTGTATCCACCGCCGCTGCCACCGGAGTATCCACTACTCCTGTTGGAGTATCCGCCACCACTGTAGGATCGGTCACTTCCACCATAGCTCCTCTCTCCTCCCCCATAGCCTCTATCTCCACTACCATAGGATCGGTCACCTCCACCATAGCCTCTATCACCACCAAAG